TTATAAGTATCACGACATACTTCAAGAAAGTCAACTATTAATACAACCACAGTCAACGAATAGAAAATAGTTTTTTTGTTTTGTGTAGAAAAAGACCCCCTGGGCGTGTGCCCGGATATGACCTCAACTTCTTTATTGTGTCAAAAGTGGGGGGTGGGCGTTTTTCCAGGCATGGGCTCTTACCCGGATAAGTACGGTATAGTATTTGAAAGTTAAACAATTAATTGAAAGCTTGTTGTTTATTGTTGTACATCTGTCGCTGTATCGTCATAAATTAACAGTGTGATGTATTTGTTTAAAATTGCTGCACAGGGAATCTGTATCTTTATACTTTACTGCATAAATAATATAATATCTTTGTATTTTACCGCATACCGTGTATATAGCCCATGAGACCCATACTGGATGCAGCATAATGTGACACTTTAAGTAACAAGGTGTAGCTCTTCCTGATTCAAATTCTGTATTATTAACATAATCTAATCTACTGTAGAATACTTTATTTTCGCTATTTTCGCTGAAGGGATGATTCAGTAAAAAATAAAATACAGCGAATATACATTTTTCCTATGTTTTACATTCAACTTGTCAAAAATCAGTGAAAATAAATTCCATGCAAAACGCTTAAAGTGTTTTCAACGAAAATTAATTCCAGCTAAAATAAATTATTCTACAGTAATTTGTGTGAGCTTTTCATTCAAAAGACATTATGAAACTTGAGTATAGCGATAAAATGACATGACAAGTTTTGACATTTGATTCAAGTGATACATTCAAAAGTTACCACTGATACGTGGCAACTTGTGTTCAATTATGATTGTTATTTATTATGTAACAGTTGTCAGTGTTTGACATTATGAATCATGATTTTATTATGGGTTGTATTACTGTACAGTTATAGTGAGTGGTGACGATTCCTTTCCCTTTCTTTTCTGAAGGCTTGAACTGACATTGATGAAAGCAGAGAGCGGACCATTTTGGCCAGAGGTTGTATCAGGTGATAAACGAGGGGAGTATGTGGTTGATTCTGATGAAGCTAAGAAGATTCATGAAAGACTGTCCCATCTCACATCTGAACAGCTGGTAAGTCATAATAATAATCAAAGTAATGCTACTTGTAGTGCTTATCCGAACTGCTCTGTAAATCTACTAAAATTAGTGTCAGAAGATGAACTGTGCATCTTTTGTTCTTCACAGACAGTGGGCTTTGCCTTGCAGCTGTTTTGCAACATTATCACTAAAATGTCTAATTTTCTTATTCAGATTTGCATAATATACAATATTTAGTTTCAGCCTCTTCAGATTTAATTAACAAATTCATATTAGATTAATTGAATACTGTAAAATACATTTTTGGTGCTTTGTATGGAATTTATTTTCACTGATATTTGACAAGTTGAATCTAAAATATAGAAAAAAAAGTATACTCGCTGGATTTATTAGTGACTTTGGTCTCCGTCCGTCTGTGCGTTCGTCTGGAGTCATATCTCAGAATCCCTTGGACGGATTACATTCATTCTTTGCATGTGCCTAGTACTTTGTGTGGGACATATGCACATGCAGTGGTTTAGCGATTTGATTCAAAATGGCCGACTGGCAGCCATCTTGTTTTTTGAAAATGTCGTATTTTGGACATGCTTTGTCAGTTTTCATTCAAATTTAGTACATAGATCATACATGTTAGGATACATGTCCATGACGGTTTATTTCACAATTGGATCAAAGATGGTCGACTGGCAGGCATCTTGTTTTTTATGCGGTATCTTGGATGTGCTCTGTCAGTTTTTCATTTAAATTTGGCACATACATGTACTTTATACATGTTAGGATGCATGTCCATGACAATTTGTTTCAAAATCTGGTCAAGGATGGCCGATTGATAGCCATCTGACTTTTTGGCCTTACTACTATATTTCCACAATTTATGTACCATTTTCATTCGTATTTGGCACATACATCATACATATCAGTGTGTTTCATAATCAGATCAAAGATGGCCGAATAACGGCTGTTTTTATTTTTGACCATATTACTACTACACGGAACACATGTTTTGATGTAAATAAACAATCTGTTGTATACGCCACTTGGAACTCAAGTTTCAAGGACATGCTCGCGACAACCCCTCCGCTTTAATATGACGCGCACAAAGAGAACTTTCAAAAATTTTATGGGAACTGTTTCATTTTCAATGACTTGTTTTCACTGAATCATTCCTTCAGCGAAAATAACAAAAATTAAATCCAAGCGAAATTACAGTAATTTAAATAATCTAATGGTCAACAAATTGTATTTTGATTATGTCACACCACATACATCACATTTAAGATACCACCCCTCCCCTCCTAGCTTGATATCTTGCTGCCTGAAAAAAATTCTATATATCTATTTTTGCTGCATTTTTTGCAGAGTTTGCCAGGTGAAAGTGACAAGCCAGCGTACAATACACAGGAGTTGGAAGAATGTGACGCTTTCCCGGAAGATACGTCAGCTTTGACTCGTATCGATGGAAACCTGCACCAAATTACAAATAAGGTACAGTAATCTTGTATTAGCCTCTCACCAAACCTATCGCTTGCAGATCTGTGTTAACTAAGAATGACGTGGTTTTACATCCTTTGTTTTAACGCATTTATGTTCTGTTTCTGACATATAGGTCAGCCTTGGAAGTCACCAATGGTTATTCAATGTACAAATTGAACCAGAAAAAGCACCTGGGATATGTATACGACATGATGTAGATGGGTTGATATGGCAACCGGGAAAACCTACAGAAGATGAAGAATCGCCATGGAAGCATGTATCAACATTCAATGCTTTGGGCTATGTGCAAGCATCTAAGCGAGAAAGGAAATTTGCGACGTGCGCCGCAGATTTTTCATACTCGACATTGTGCGATTGTTCTAAACATATTTACATATACAGACAATGTAAACCGAAGACACCTCTGAGAAATAGGAAGACTGGTCAAGTCGTGCGACAGGTTGCTAAGCAGCAAGTGGTATCATTAGACTCAATTGATGAGATATTAGGTTTTCAAGCATGTAAGGAAAGGTTATATATATTGACAGCGAAGAGACTGTACATTGTGCGGATGACGTCTGAATAAACTAATGTTGTAGCTGTAATGTTATCTAATCTATGTTAATTTAGTGGTGCAAATTCACTGAATACAGTCAGTGGAGTTTAGGAAATTATGACCAATGTTGATGACATCCTGTATAAAACACCTTTCCTGTTCCTTCTCCAAAGTCATTGAGAACCTATGTAAACTTAACCTGTATAAAATAGAAACCTGTCTAAACTAAAACCTGCCTACACTGAAAACCTGTATAAACTGAACTTTGAGTAAACATGTCTAAACCAAAAAACCCTGTGTAAAATGGGACCTGTGTATACCATTAACTGAATACTTTTTCTCGTCCCTGCTCCAAAGTCTTGCTTACACAATAGAACTCGGACCCTATCCCTTTTCCATACACTTATCCCCCCGATACTGGTACATACATTTATAAGCCTCACCTCTGTAAACAAAACAATTTCTCAGTTCGTTTAGTTTTTGATGACTTTCACTGTATACGTGTCAGGTAAGCATACACAGCTATTCATGTATTATTTTCAGTCTTTTAATGTATCTGAATCCGTTAAGCCATTAAAAGAAATGATATAGTAGTTATAATGTTTGGATTTATAGTGTCAAATTGTTCATGGCACAGCTCAAGATAAAGACATCTGAACAATTGCAACTCCACAGGCTAAGCTGATTGCAAGAGGTCCAAGAAATGCAGTGTACACATCACATAAATTAAAGCCCAGAACACAAAGTGTCTGGCCAGTTTGTTTTCCAAAAAAAACTACAATTTTGTCTAGACATGCATGATAACCAGAAACATCAATATTTTTCTCTGGGCTTATTAGTTGCCGTCCAAATCAGTCAAAAAAAATGTTTGGGAAGGACTGACAGTACAGTGACGATTATCCTTTCTCAAAGGCAGATCGGAACAGAAAGTCAGAAGACAAAGGATTTTTTCGTTAGCGTTGGGGGAAAGTGAATCTCCACACCTAACCAATGTAGATACATCATATTCGGCCTCGACTCAACTGTTGGCATGCACTGTACAACTACCCGGTATTACAGGGTCCATAGCATTGGGAAAATCCTTTGAAAGTCTTTGGATTTTTTGAGGTCTTGAAAGTCTTTGAGTTGTCTTTAAATTACAGGAAAAATAAAAAAAATCTTAAAATTTCTTCATAGTTATTAATTCATTTTAGAAAGGCCAGTTTTCTCCAGGGAACTACCATATCCTCAGAACTTTGATGATGTTGGCCTGAATTAAGGGTCAAAATGTCTTGGGAAAAATGCAAGACAGTTTGGGAAAAGTCGTGAATAATTTTGCTCTCGGTACTACCGTTATTACCGATAGCCTGGTTAGATTTTGAGCAGTAACCATGTAAATTTATGTGTAATATCATGAATAATTGTAAAGGTGGTGGGCCATACTTGCATTACTGTGTCAGTTCACATGGAGGGAGGGAACATACAATGGTCCATTAATTAAAACACAAGGCGCGAGAGGTAAAATCTTAGCAGTAATGCCCGGCTATTGCAGACTACTGAATGGTACCCAGATTACACAACTATATACCATTAAAGTTATATACATTTGATTTATTTGATCACAAAATATATGTAAATATCTAATACATACAGCTTTTAAATTGTTATCTTTGAAATGAACAAGTGATGTAATAAATACATATCGATGAATTAAATATTAGTAGCAATGTAGAGATGGATTCTAATTGTGAAAAAAAAGCAATTGTGTGAATGTAGTCTGCCGCGTCAACTATCACCTCAAAATTATGGAAAAAAATATTTTGTCCTGTATCATGGAACTTCTTTGCAAGTATCTAATAATAACTGGTTAAACTGGTAAACTTGATCAGAATAAACATGGTGGCTGGCATCTTTGACGAGCTGAAATAATAAAAAATATAATTGTGATTAACCATTCTGCTAATGTCAGTTATGATGAAACAATTGCATAACACATTAATCCTTTGAATGGCAGAATTTTAGTGAAATGCTTTGGACACTTTTTTTTTAATTTTGCACCAATGGACGCAAAATCTCTTCGGCTGAAGTAGTTGATAATTTGGGTAAAAAAAAAATATACAGGCATATTTTGTTGACAAAAGTTGACTTTCCAACTTACATGCACATCAACTTGCGAGTCCTTTCTGATTTCCTTTGTTCTTTTTCCCATGCTGTTGTCAATTATGGAATAAGTATTCTCTCCATAGATAAATGTAATTGGAATATCTTTCCTGATTTCATGGATACGATGTATTAATGGGAACTTTGCAAATCCCCATGGTCCCAACAAACTCTTGAATCCAATCTCACCGCTGAAAAAAAATTATACTTTATTTCAAACACCTAAAATTTATTCATTTTTGTCAAATTGTACTCCTGGACCATATAAGGTCGCCAGCCTAATTTTCAAAAAAATTATGGTTCTATTTTTGTGGATAGTGGCCAGTTTATCAGTATTATATAGCTTTTAGGATAGGTTCCTATGGCAGATATATTATGCAATATTTCAAATTGTAGTCCGGTGACATAGGCTGAAAATCATATATTGGTAATGATGGGGTACTTGTTGTTCTGAATTATTTTAAAAATCTAGGTTTTAGAAAATGTCAATAAATGCATTTTTTTTAAATTGTGTTTTTTGAAATTGTTCTAAAAATAGTGATTTTTGAAAAATATGTCACTGTGACACACAAAAGAATCCTATTTAATGATGCCATGCCATGTGATTTATGACTAATTTTTCAAAAAGTTCCCATTGAAAACCCCCACAGCACCATATGGGATTGGGTGGTTGATTCTAAATGAGGTGGACATGCTATTCAGTTTAAAATTGTTTCTGAATGCAACTACCAGTATGATAGCATGAATTTTGGATTGTTTACATCATATTCTTGATGATCCATAACATAGAATGCAGGTCAGCAGCCCCGGAACATGTGTACATGTATCACTATGCTAGGACATTGTACTAGGCTTTTCATAAAAAAATAATGGTAATGTTGATTAATCTTGACGTGTGTGCTTCTTTTCTTATCAGTTTAACTTCTCGATTGCATTCATGATCATTGTATTTAATGCAGTTTCAGGGCCATCGGAATGCAATTGATTAATTCTGTATCATCTGATAATGTACCACATTTATATTGCATTGTTAAGTAAAACAGGGTAAACATTAATTTGGATCCCAGAGACTTAGGATACATGAATATACCAATTCAAAATTTTGATGCTCATGGCACTGAAATATAAGCATAACTCGATAGCATATTGAAAGTCTTACAAATTTCCCTACACATGTTATTGACAGCATTCAGCCATTCATCATCATAGTCTGCAATGAATTAACATATTGACAGTCAGGCAATATGTTACAACCATTGTCGATAATATGTTGATGCATACAAACTATTATTATACATCTGTCACCGTAACTCCATAAGTTACAGCGTGCCGTAATTTTGCAGTATTTTACGGGGTATTTGCATCCTACCATATTAGGAAATGCGAATTCCAAATATGGAATGATTACGCGCGTAAGCGTCCTCTAATAATAAAAACAAATATGGCTGCCACCAGGGTTTGACCGGACTCCATAAAAAGAAGTTCGCTGATTCTGTTCTAAAAT